TGCAAATCTGATCAATACTGTCATGTTATTGCGGTAAGAACGGAGAGTTTTCAACAGGCTGCACATTTCTTAACCTCTGAACAAAGTTTCCAAAAAAACAACGAATTAAACACAAATTTATTACTGTATCCACTTTCAAAACTTATCCTAATACCACACAGATTAATTAATTTTTCGTATAAAAAAAAACAAACAATTTCATATTTTAAACACATGCATTTTGCAACTAATTCACTTCAAAAATTTTACAGAAAGATTAGTAAATTATTAAATTAAGTTTTATTTTCAGCAAATCCTCTTGAAAATTTGTTATTATTTGTATAAATATAGAAATATTCAAGTAAATTTTTATAAAAAATATATTTTTAAAGAAATACTAATAGAGAATTCGTGGAAATTAGAGGAAATGTTCAAAGCAATGAATATTACATAATAAATATAACATTTATTGCAGTTCTGATCAATACTGTCATGTTATTGCGGTAAGAACGGAGAGTTTTCAACAGGCTGCACTTTTCTTAACTCCTGAACAAAGTTTCCATAAAAACAACGAATTATACACAAATTTATTACTGTACACCACTTTCAAAACTTATTCTAATACCACACAGATTAAGAAATTTTTCAAATAATAAAAAAAAACAAACAATTTAATATTTTTCAACAAATCCACTTTAAAAATTATTAATTATTAGATTATTTAAACTTTTATCAAAAAAATAATAATAATTTCATATTTAATCACATTGAATTTTCAGAAAATTCTCTTGAAAATTTGTTATAGAAATATTCAAGTAAACGTTTGTAAAATATATTTTTAAAGAAATAGTAATAGAGAATTCGTATCTGAAAATGTAGAAATTGTAATCTCTGGTGAGCGGAAACGCATTGAGGAAGAGCAAGGAATGGGAAATCGATGTGCTCGGTTTCGCCCACCCTCATGTAAAAAGGAAATTGTAAAAGCGTGCAGTACCGCTAAATTTTCCCTAATCGATGCTCAAAACAAATTTAGAACTTTTAATTGGACTTCCTTTCTAATTCGGATCAAACGGCTGAAACAGGAACGAAACACCAAGAACCACAGATACATAAAAATAAAAGAACTAACGGAAGCTTTGAAGTGTTCGTTTTGTACGAATTTTGTTTAGATTCCGGTATTATGATATTGCGGAAACGATGATTGTTTTGTGTGCATAGCACACTAACCCAGATGAAGGTTGACTTCTGGTGTATAAATCAACAAACGGAAGAGTGATTTAATTAAATAAGAGCGCACGAGCGAACGAACGAACGTTTGCACGAAACCGTACTGTAAATATTGGTCTGTATCCTTACCATAAAGGATATAGCGTACTTTATTAACCGGTATAATAATATTGACAATATACAGTATCATTTTATGCACTCAAACTCGTATTTGTTTACTTTTTGGCAACGTTTCAAAAGCTTATGTCAATTTTATTTTCATTGAAATATATTTGACAGTTAAACCAGAAATGTCACAACTGTCACAACATAACCTATGATTTCAGCTGTAATGGAAATATTCTATCTGCTTTTTATAGTTTTCTTTTGAGAAATACAACTGCGTTTTACACGGAACTTTATTTACATGTTTTCGCTTTTACACAGTCTATTTTTCAAATTTAAAGTAAATGTTGAAAATAAAGTGAAAAAGAACATTTTTTTTTACTTTCAATATTTTTGTTTGATGTATGTAAAAAATTGAAATAAAATCATAATCATATGTTCAGGAAAACGAAGAATAGTTTTGTAATGAAATGCTAAGACACGTTTATATCGAGAATTTTGATAGTAAATTACATCATAATTATAAATGTCAAAACTATTATATTTCAAACATGTTATACCTACTTAATTCAGCTTTAATATCTATATCTAATCTTCTGGCTGCCTTTGTTGTTTTTGAGATATACCATAAAGTGTAAATTGTTACGAAATGTTAAATTTTGGCAGCAATTAAAAATTTAACTAAAAATGCAATAACTATACCATTATACATATTTCATAGATTCAGCTTCAATATTGATATTCTCTTGTCTAATTACTTTTCAGTATTCAGTATTCGATAAATACTCTAAAATGTAATTAGGATACAAAAATTTAATTTTACATTATACATATTTCATAGCCAATATTTTCAATTTTAATATGAATATTCAATATTCTAACTTTAAAAGTTGCGAAAAGTTATGTCATTTTTATTTTCATTGAAATATATTTGACAGTTAAACCACAAATGTCACAACTGTCACAACATAACCTATGATTTCAGCTGCAATGGAAATATTCTATTTGTTTCTCATAGTTTTCTTTTCAGAAATACACGGATCTTTGTTTATACGTTTTCGTTTTTACACGGTCTATTTTTCTAATTTGAAGTAAATGTTCAAAAGAAACAATTTTTTTGACTTTCAATATTTTTGTTTGATGTATTTAAAAAATTGAAATATAATCATAATCATAGGTTCAGAAACCTATCTACCGCGTAAAACGAAGGATAGGTTTTTAATGAAATACGAAGACACATTTATATAGAGAATTTAAAAAAAAGTTAAATTTTGATACTGAAAGAAATCATAATTATAAATGTCAAAACTATGATATTTCAAACGTTTCATACCTAATTAATTCAGCTTTAATATCTATATCTAATCTTCTCGCTGCCTTTTGTAGTTTTTGAGATATACCATAAAGTGTAAATCGTTATGAAATGTCCAATTCTGACAGCAATTCAAAATTTAACTAAAAATGACATAATTATACATATTTCATAGATTCAGCTTTAATATTGATATTCTCTAGTCTGATTACTTTTCAGTATTCGATAAATACTCTAAAATGTATTGGGATATGAATAGTCAATATTTTTACCTCAAAAGTTATGAAGATATTTAACTGTGACAACCAATTACACGTAAACTTTAATAACTATACCATTCCATATATTTCGTAGACAAGAGTTATAACTTTATTATATAAGTTCAATATTCCAACAAAATTTGATAGTTTTTGAGAAATATTAATAATTGTAAAGTTACTACTTTTCCTGAAAAAAACAATAGCAAAATTTGACAGCTTTTTTCAGTGAAATTATATTCAATATTCTTCATTATTTTCATAGTATTTGAGAAATACTAACACAAAAACATAATTACACTGTTTTTTTGAGAATGGAAAAATTGACATCGAATTACAACATAAACCATAACTGTCAAAATATTATCTTACTATTGTAGTATAAATGTTGTATTGAAAGTATATAATTCTGAAAAATCTATACATAATTTATAGATGATGGAATAATGCCCTCATTTTTTGTGTCTTCCGTTTTAGTCTATGTATAAAATAAAAGACAAGCAATGAGTAATGGTTCATGTAATGGGATATGAGGAATTGTAGTCGGCATGTTTAGCAATTGATTTACGATACAATGGTAATGCGATTACCAGTTAAATCCGCTGACAAATGAATATTCAACGGCGGCGATGCTTGAAGCGTGGATTTTTATATTTGTTAATTCCACACGAACGAACAGATTGGATTCGATGCGGCTGGAATAGAAAGAAAGAATAGAAAGAAGAAAAAAAAACACGAATAGGATGAAGAACAGAAAATGGATTGAAATAAAGCAAACAGGAAAGTGTGTATGCAGTTTGAATGCATCCGTATGGTTTCTGCAAAAAAAAAAGTAAAAACTGTTGGATGATTTCGTGCAGGAGTTAATGAAAGCGAGACGCCGTGCATATTTAATTCCACCAGGAGATTTCTCATTTTCATCTGGATGCTCGAAACGTGTGCGAAAAGAGTTAGGATGCGCGCCAATAAACAATGCTACAAAAGAAGTCCTTCGCCTTGCCTCTGAATAATAAAGGACATGGATGGAAGTTCTTCCTTTATGCTCAGCATTAATTTAACTTTTCTTGCGGAGAGAGAGAGAGGATCTGCACGTGGGGGGGGATGAGGGTTGAAAAGGGGATTAAACACCGATGACATTCATTAATTCACCTTTTAGGGATTCTTCGCGAACTTCCCTGAAGCTCCATATTCAAATCACAGCAAGGAGAAGCCCTTTTCCCGAATATTCGACGGGATATTTAATCAACCCGCCGCCGATTGCATAGTTGCCGGCACTTCCTTGAGCCGTGATCTCGAAGGTCAAGGGTTGAATACGAAACGGCCCTTTTGTGCCGATCAAAAATTACTTATCCATTGAAATCGCTTAATTGCACACGGATTCCATCCGGACAACAACACGATGCGAGAGCACAATGAAAAGACCCTCTTCTCCACATCTTGTTTTCCGGCATTCGAAGAAATCGTAGGGATAAATAGGAAGAAATATTGAGCAGATCAACTAGCAGCATTTTTATAATGGGAATTAATTAGGGACGAAATGCTGATGTCTGCAGCCTCCGACAGGATCTATATATTTTTTTCTGCTTTCCCTTCTATCTTCCATTCCTTTATTCTTGGTAGTTGGATTAATTAGGTCCTTTTATATAATTGCTTAATTTCGGGATAATAATCGATTCGGCCACAATCCCTGATTTTGACGTACATCAAGCTCATGGTCAATTCAATTACACTCATTACATTGACACAATTAACTAATCATATTTACATCACTTATCTTTGAAATGCGTCTATATCGAAATCCGGATAATCAAATTCCCGACATTGTGGAAATCCCGACAACCATAATCCCGACAGTCTTTAAAATCCCGACATGGTCTAAATCCCAATCTCGGTGATATTTTTATCATCATTATTTCAGAAATATTCAAATTTTCAAATCTTGACAAATATTTAGTTAATTATTATATAAGTTTGAACGTAGGCTCAGCTATTATAATATATGTTCAGAATGGCTTTGAAATACGTATCTAATTTGTTATATAATCATGTACAAAATGTAATTTCTTAATAAAAAGTAACAAAAAATTGTTTCTAATAAATGTGTGTCTTCTCTTTTGCAGCTTGGGTGCTTGGATGGTGGATGTGCAAGACCGTCCCATATATACAGGGTGTTTCTGTTGCCGCCTCCGTCTACAGCCTAATCGCAGTATCTTTGGATAGGTATGTACTACAGTTATAATATAAACTATACAAACAATACCTCGCATAGTCTGGTTTCGATTAATACGGATCCACTATTGTCCAGTTCTAAAGTGTCCAAACAAACTAAGCTTCAATTAAGCAAAATAAATTCTAAAAAATCCAATCCACATCCAAGTCTCTTTATCTTTATTTACTTACTCGATTAGTCCGGTTTCAAACAGTTCCATTATCCGAACTATGCGAGTTATTGCTGTATCTTTTAATTGAAAAATGTTAAATAATTTAGTTTCTAATTAAAAACGTAGTCACTACGTTTCTTTTAGAGATTATGTGCGAAACAAATGTTTACACATTGGAATAAAATATCTTATTTCTATTCTTCTGATAAATCTTCTTAGTACCTTTTTTTTAAAGAAAAGTTAGTGATTTGTGTAGTAATATACAGATTGTTCTACATATTTTTATATTTTATGAAATTTAATTTTAGAAAAACCAAATTCTTTTTTTTTGCACAATTCATCAACTTCAACACTTAGACACGTGAATAAATTACCAAAAACACTTTACAAAACAAATCACTCATTCAGCAAATCCATTTTAACATTTTCAAATTTTATGAGTTGTAATTTTATGTGTTTTTAAAAGAAATACAAATTAATTATTAACACGAATATTCGTGTCTTTTTTTACTGAACATAATCTATGAAATGAACAATAGAACTGTTATTCATAATTTAGTTAAAATTTAATTTTTGAGGTAAACATGAAACATTTCCATCGTTCATTTAAATACCAGTAAATAATAATTAGACGAATATTCAGCTATGCATTAAAGTTATTATTATATTTAATTAGATTTCGCATGAACACGTGCATTGCACAGTAAATTACATGAATGTATATATTAATTAGAAGAGAGATTCATGCGCGCATAATTATATTACAAACAGGGATGTTTATGTTGAAAAGATCAACATCGTTTTAGAATCTACGAAAGAATGTCGGTTTTCTCGTTTTTCATAATACTAATTATTTGTTTTTGGTAAAAAAAAATTTTTTTGTTCATGAAATTCTCACTATTTAAATTTACTCATTTTTTTCGTATTACTAAACGTATCTGAATTTAAGACGCGTACACATCTGAATGCGACCACTTTTATTAACATAACTAAGTGATTTACAAAGTTTTCCAATTAATTAAAGACAAATAAAAAATCTTCAACAAATATTTGTCGAAGAAAAGAAAAACCAATACAAATGTGATTGATATTTTTTTAATTATCAACTGTTTATGTATTTTATTCATTAATTGGCAAGAAGATCTTTGCAATTTTCCTCTTAATAAATTAAATAATTTTATTCTAAACATTCTAAACAATATTTTTTTATTTAAACATTATAAAATTTATATCAAATTGGTGACAATAATTAGAGTTAATTTAATGATCTAATTTATCACTAAGATATTATTGCACAATGCGCCTTATAATAAATTTTTCAACTACATTTTGGTTAAAATAATGTGTAGATGAAGAAACTGTAAATCCTTAACAAATCAATTATACAATTATCTAACAAAAGTTCGCTAAGTAGGCGTTAGTTCATTTGTTTATGAAAAAACAAAAGTTGTTTGTCAATTTATTAAAGTCTAATGATATTTCATGTCAAATTTCAAGAAGATCGGTAAGAATTGATAGGAGAAAATGCAAGATTAGTGATGTAATGTTGGTAGAAATTAGCCAACTTAGCGAATTTTTACACCCTCGTATATTTTAGTTTAAATTAATCTTCAAATAAAAATTTCATTCAACAAATTTAAGTAACATTTATTTTGTAAATAAGAAATTTTTTTACAAATATTTTTTATATTCAAAATGAAGGTTATCTAAATATAAACATTAAGTTATTTTTGTATTGCTTTACTATTCTACTATATAATTCCAGGTGATCATAATCAATACATTGTCGTTTTACATTTATTATTTAGAAATAGAAATATTCCTGAAATTTTAGAAAATTAACTAAATTATTTTGTTAATTACAAACAAATCTTACCTGGGGTTTTACTTGGAACAAGCATTTATTAAACAAGAAAACTGTTTCGCAGACATCTGAACCAACTAAAAGTTTAAAGTGGTATTTGAGTAATTATACTTCATCACGTTATTTTTTTGTATAAGATAATATAATACAGCAATAACTCGCATAGTCCGGATTATGAAATAAGCTAATCTCCTGGACTGTTTGAAACCTGACAAATCAAGGACTTTTAAAAAGTGTTTCTCTTGAAATTTTCAAGCTGGATTATACTGAATCCAGACTATGCGAGTAACTACTGTAATTATTTTGTACTTGTATCTTTTCATTGTGTCTTTAATAAAAATATACTTTTTGAAACTGGATTATATATGAAACCGGACTAAACGAAGTAGGACTATACGAGTACTTACTGCAATTACTTTAATCTTGTTATTGCTTATTTTAATAGAAATATACTTTTTGAAACTGGATTATATACGAAACCGGACTAATTGAAGTCGGACTATGCGAGTAGTTACTGTTATTATTTTATACCTAATTCTTTTTATTAGTTTTTTTTTTATAAAAATATACTTTTCGAAACTGGATTATATATGAAACCGGACTAACGAAGTAGGACTATACGAGTAATTACTGTAATTACCTTAATCATGTTATTGCTTTTTTTAATAGAATCATACTGTTTTAAACTGGATTATACTAAATCCGGATTAATCGAAACCGGACTATGCGAATATTTACTGTAATTATTTTAATTCTGAATCTTTTTATTGCTTTTTTTAATAGAAATATACTGTTTGAAACTGGATTATATATGAAACCGGACTAATTGAAGCCGGACTATGCGAGTAGTTACTGTTATTACTTTATACCTGATTCTTTTTATTAATTTTTGTTTATAAAAATATACTTTTTGAAACTGTATTATATATGAAACCGGACTATGCGAGTTTTGATACCTTATATATCTTTTCATTGTCTTTATAATAGAAAGAATTACAGCAACAATAAAAATTGAAAATTGAAGGATTACTTCTTTGATAAAGATTGGAAATTTCATGAAGTTTGGTTTTTGATATAATAATAAACTAACAATTATTTTATACCTGTATCTTTGCATGCCTTAATATTCGATGCATAAGGTGGTCTGATGTTTTCAGGAATGGCATTGATCAGTTTTTTATAATCGACAGTGCCATCAGCTTTTATCTAAAAAGATAAAAACAACAATAATCTTGCAAAATGTTACAAAACTAAGAAATCATCATAAAATACCACTCCCATTTTTGCCCACCAACACTTCAAGTAACACATCAGAGCCCTGTCCTCGACAAATTTCCCATCAGCTAATCCTTCCAAAACGTCTGAAATATTCCGCAATTAATTACAATGTTTATATTACAAAATATAATAAAAAAAAGTAATACCAATATCAACACCGCTTTCTGCAAGACACGATGTTCTTATCACTTTGGCGACGGTTTTGAAGCAGGAAGGAATATTAT